ATGTTTTGCACTACATCTCCCATAATGGTTTGCCAGCATTATGGGAGATGTAATTCACAGCATCTGGACTGCCCAAGGTTACCTACCTCTGAACTATGCCGTGATCACAGTACACAATGTTGAAGTTGCTGTGCAAACAGGAGCAGCTTGTCACGTGCCAGATGACACTTCATTATTTATAAATTCAATACTCCATCCTGGAGACGAGCATCAAACATGGGCTTCTTCATTCCTCTTCATGTACTTCGTATCCCATAGGAGAACATGCTTGTCAGAGCTGTGACACACACAAAAAGAAATAAACTGGTTAGAGTAACTGGCATAACAGACACAGTGCGTGCAGACTTGCGTGCCACATACATACAGCAGACAGACACAAAGATTGTGGGAGACACACCGGATTAAATATAAGAATTGGGAGTACCATACATACACAATGCACAAAGAGACAGAGATTACTGAATTCGGTGACCGACGAATTTGGTTGCAGATGTGGGGCTGTCCCTCTCGCTAGGGTGCAGTTTCTCATCCTTCTCTGGCGAGTAACTAGATGGCTGCGGTTTCATAGCAAAAAGCATGCTTTGGCATATGATATCTAGGAAATAAATATTTTTCTGTGAAACTAGGGTTGTACACATCTAACACACAGGCCACACGTACTGTACAGCTCACCATCTAACGCACAGCCCCCAAATATAATACACTGCCCCCCCACATGTAACAAACAGCCCCTCCATCTAACACACTGCCCCAATACATTTCACAGACCCCCCAATATACTACGCAGACCTCCCCATACAGCGAAGACCCCCCCCATACGGCGCAGACCCCCTTATATAGCGCAGACCACCATGCAGCGCAGACCCCCCTATACAGCGCAGACCCCCATATATAGTGCAGACCCCCCTATAGAGCGCAGACCCCCATATATAGTGCAGACCCCCATATATAGTGCAGACCCCAATATAATAATGTACTAAAACCCCCCACTCCCCAATATAATGCACTGAACCCCCCCTAATATAGAACCCCCTCCCCTCGGATGGCTGAGAGTGTTGGGAGCAGGGAGAGACTGACCTGTTCCCAGAAAATGCTGTACTCAGACGATCAGAGTCCGCGCATGCGCAGTATAGGGGTAGGGAGATTTCACAGGGCTTAATCGCCATCAGATTTCCCTACCCCTATACTGCGCATGCGCGGTGTGTGAGAAGCGCTCCCTGTCCCCAAGTGCGCACGCGCGCTGTACCTCCGACGGGAGTACTTTGGCGCGCGTGCGCACTATGCCTTTTGTCGACTACTCGCTGTGCAAAGTCCCTACCTGGGTGGTGTGCGCCTGCGCGGTGGCGCACACCCCCGTCCCAACGTCACTTCCGGTGCGGCTTCGTCACCGGAAGTGACGCGGGTAGGGTTTTCTAACGGGGTAGGGAAATTTGATAGAACACCGCCCAGGAAATAAGCTGATAAGCTATACTTCCCGTCATGCTCTTGGTACGGTCAGCTTCCTGCTGAGGTACGTGCCGTGGATACGGGGAACTACAATGACCGTGATGCTTGGCGGTTTCCAGGCGCCTTCAGTGACGTCAGAGAGTGGTCGACTGCGGCTGAGAGAGGGTACTGGAGACAGAGACTTACTGAAGGAGGAGGACTGGGGATCTACATGGCCTGAGAGGGTATTCAATATTATACAACTTTATTAATATAGACACTCATACAACTTTATTAATATAGACAATAGAATACATAGACAATAGTATACAACTTTATTAATATACACAATATTATACAACTTTATTAATATAGACAGTGTTATACAACTTTATTAATATACACAATGTCATACAACTTTATTAATATACACAATATTATACAACTTTATTAATATAGACAATAGTATACAACTTTATTAATATACACAATGTCATACAACTTTATTAATATACACAATATTATACAACTTTATTAATATAGACAATAGTATACAACTTTATTAATATAGACACTGTCATACAACTTTATTAATATAGACAATAGTTTACAACTTTATTAATATAGACACTGTCATACAACTTTATTAATATAGACAATAGTATACAACTTTATTAATATACACAATGTGATACAACTTTATTAATATAGACAATATTATACAACTTTATTAATATAGACAATAGTGTGGCAAACCTAGCCACTTGGACAATACAAAGAGACTGTGCCTTTAAGGGTTGCCTGTATGTCTAGAGAGATATGTGCTTCATTCCATGTGTATGCTTTATGTATGTTCTGCATTGCCTTTTGCCGAATGCAAATGGCGGTTTTGTATGGGGGTTTTCTTTCGTTTCATGAACGGCACTTTGGAGAGCCGTTCGTGAACCGAACGCGATATCCCCTAATAGCCCACACACTTAGAGGCGTGTGGCGCTAGTTAACCAATTGCAACATTGTTGCAATCGGTTATCAGAGGCTCTCCTGGGTGGCCGTCGTTCGACTACCGACCATGCGGCGGTCGGCCATCTTGGATCCTTTGTTCCCTCAGCGGTGCTAGGTCGTCGAACGCATAGTACTACAAATAGCTATTCGACGGCATGAACACCGCTGAGCCTCCAGGACGTTCGGGAGTTTCAGGATCTTGTTCCCTAAAAGCAATCGGTCCTTTTTGTATGTTTTAGAAGAAATGTGTTTTTCGTGCGGCGTTCGGTTATTTTAGCTGGGATCTGAGCGGTAATCCCACGAATGATGCGCTCAGACCCCAGCTATCTACCGAACGTCCATTCGTGTAAATCCACTGTATATTTAACAAGTTATGTATTTTTGTTTAAATTGTCGGTTCTGCTGCACGAGGGGATAAGCCACTTAACGGTGCATTCTGGGAAGATGATCCCTCTCGTGCAGCGGTGCCTGATGGGAGAAATATGCTGTAATGTAAGTCCCCCATGTAGTCCCCTCTGGGAGTGCCCCTGGGGAGGGACTCAGGAAACCCCTTGCATGGGGACTTGTATAAATTGTCCAGCCGATTAAAAGGATGTCAGTTGACTCTCAGAACTGTGTCTCGTCCGGTTACTGGGAGGTTGGGGATATTGCCTTGTTGTTTCAGCGCTTGACTGTGGATTCGTTTCTGAACCAGCGGAATTCGTGGATTATGTATTGGCGTTCCGCTACAAATAGTATACAACTTTATTAATATAGGCACTGTCATACAACTTTATTAATATGCACAATGTTATACAACTTTATTAATATAGACAATAGTATACAACTTTATTAATATAGACACTGTCATACAACTTTATTAATATAGACAATAGTTTACAACTTTATTAATATAGACACTGTCATACAACTTTATTAATATAGACAATAGTATACAACTTTATTAATATACACAATGTTATACAACTTTATTAATATAGACATTATACATCTTTATTAATATAGACACTTATAAGACTTTATTAATATGGACACTATTATATAACTTTATTAATATATACACTATCATACAACTTTATTAATATAGACACTAGTATACAACTTTATTAATATAGACATTATACATCTTTATTATTATATAGACATTAATATACAACTTTATTAATAGACACTATCATACAACTTTATTAATATAGACATTATTATACATCTTTATTAATATAGACAGTATACAGCTTTATTAATATAGACACTATTATACAACTTTATTAGTATAGACAATATTATACAACTTTATTAATATAGACATTCTACAACTTTATTAATATAGACAATACTATACAACTTTATTAATCTAGACACTATTATACATCTTTATTAATCTAGACACTATTATACAACTTTATTAATATAGACACTAGTATACAACTTTATTAATATAGACATTATACATCTTTATTAATATAGACAATAGTATACAACTTTATTAATATAGACATTATACATCTTTATTAATATAGACAGTATACAGCTTTATTAATATAGACACTATTATACAACTTTAAGGTGTCTCTAGTAATTATATGTAAATTTTTTTTATACAATGTATAATAAAGGAGTCTTTAATAAGGGTCAAGGTAGGAAATAATTGTCTTGTCAGGTTCCTACAAGACATCCAGATCTACCCATATATGTCTCCCAGGTGGACAGTGAACATGAAAACAAGGATCTTTACTTGGACGTGCCAATGGAGAATTACCAGCTTTGTGGCTCACTTGGTAAGAGAATGGTTAAATAAATGTACTTATCAAGTTCAGTCACACGTGTGTTTCTGCTGCTATGCAACGCAGCACACCAGGGAATGTCCCCATTCAGTGCACATTGTTAAGTGCAGCGCATGTTCGCCTAACAAACAAAGGAGATACAAAGCAGTTTTACACAACCTATTCTGTGTTGTTCTACCCACTTTATAGGTAGGCATGCGCTTTTGTTAAACAGGGCAGCCCACTCGCTGTCCGAATTCATACCTCCCACTGATTGGGAAATTATTTTTGTGACATAACTTATTATACTGACTAAACACTCCTCATTCCTCATTTCCATCCTTGAAGTTAAATTGGTATCTTGCCAGAGTGTTCCTTTAACCCCTTAAGGACCAAACTTCTGGAATAAAAGGGAATCATGACATGTCACTCATGTCATGTGTCCTTAAGGGGTTAAGCTTCTAACTGAAGTCATCATTTCAGTATTTGGGATTAAATTCAGGAAACTTATGAGTCAGTTGGTGAAATGCAAATCTTTTAAGTGATTTTATCAATGGCAACTTAAACCTTGGCTGTAAACCCATATTGCTAATGGAAATAAAATAGAATCACTTTCTTTTTCTCCAAGGTCTTCACAGTTCAGTTTATGTGCCAGATTATGTGTTTTAATGAGCTAAGGAATAATGATAATTGAACAGATAGGACCTCTACAGTTTGTTATGCCAAGACCAACTTACTCTATAGCTATCCAGCATTTTATTGCAAATAATGTGATCTTATTTTTCCCCAATAGATGGATTTGTGACTCAAGAATCCATTTCACTGATGCAAGAACATTTTAATAACATAAACATGGACCCACTCCCTGAACATACACTAACAGACACTAGATCTACTCTTATTAAGGAGGAATCAGCCCCCTCACAGACACTCACATTTATAAACCCACAGAACATACACCGACAGAATATCCATCTACTCCTATCAAAGAGGAACTGGCCTCATGTGAAGAGGGAAATCTCACTGATTCTTATTTACTTCTTGAATATAGATCTTTTCGGGTTAAGGAGGAAACTACTTTATATGAAGATGAAACTAAAACAGACAATGATATTTATACACAGAGAGACTATCCAAATAATCATGTTAAGGAGGAATCCGCCTCACTGGAAGAGGACAATAACAAAAACACCATAATATGTAGATTTATAGAACATTCATCTACAGCTCTTACTAATCACAAGAACATAATACAGAGCAGAATGTACCTCAGTACATGCCATCACCCCAATGCAATCGACAGATTGTACACCTGCTCTGAGTGTCTGAAATGTTTTGCTTGTAACTCAGAACTTGTTATCCATAAGGCAATTCACAATGAGAAGAAGTCAACTTCAGAAATTGGGAAACTGTCCAATCGCATACCCCAAAGCTCTCACTCAGGGGAGAAAATATTATTTACATGTCCGGAGTGTAATAAATCATTTAATAATAAGACACATTTTAAAGTCCACCAGAGAATTCACACTGGAGAAAAACCGTTCTCGTGTTCTGAATGTGGGAAATGTTTTATACGGAAGGCAGAACTTATCACTCACCAGAGAATACACACAGGAGAGAAACCATTTGCCTGTTCTGAGTGTGGAAAGCGCTTTAGCAATCGTTCAAATGTCATTGCACACATCAGAATTCACACAGGAGAGAAACCATTTTCATGCTCTGTTTGTGGGAAACGTTCATACAAAAGAAAAGCCATTCTCGTGTTCTGCTTGTGGGAAAGCTTTTTCCACTAATGGAAATCTCATGACCCATCAGAGAATCCACACAGGAGAGAAGCCGTTCTCCTGTTCTGTTTGTGGTAAATGTTTTACTGACGGATCAGGCCTTGCAATACATCGGAGGATTCACACAGGAGAGCAACCTTTTCCTTGTCCCCAGTGTGGGAAATGTTTTCCTAGTCACTCGCATCTTGTTAGACACCAGAGAATACACACAGGGGAAAAGCCCTTCTTGTGTTCTGAATGTGGGAAACGATTTAACAATAAGGCAAGTCTTGTTACCCATCAGAGAATTCATACTGGAGAGAAACCATTCTCCTGTTTTGATTGTGGGAAACGGTTTACTGCTCGCTCCGGCCTTCTGGCCCATCAAAGAATCGATACTGGAGAAAAGCCTTTCTCTTGTTCTGATTGTGGGAAATGTTTCACTGATGGGTCGGGGCTTGGAATTCATCTGAGAATTAATTCTGGAGAACAACCTTTCCTTTGTTCTCAGTGTGGAAAATGCTTCCCAAGCCACTCACATCTTGTCAGACACCAGAGGGTTCATACAGGGGAAAAACCTTTCTGGTGTAGAGATTGTGGAAAATGTTTCACCAACCCTTCAGGCCTAGTTACTCATCAGAAGATCCATGCTGGAGATAAACCTTATGAATGTTCTGAATGTGGAAAATGTTTTGTATTGAAGGGATATTTGACAAGGCATTTGGTCAAACACGCAGGAGAAAAAATGTCAGATATTAGCTAAAGGTAAACGAATCAACCAAGAACATAGTGCAATTTGTCATAGTGCAAATCATTTCAGAGCTTCAGGCAACTATAACTTTTTGAAAAATAGAAAGCCAACAATAGTTAACCAATTTGAGTAGTTAGAGGTTTTGTAATATTGTCTTGATTGTGTGTGAGCAAAGGGATCTACAATTAGTCTTACTTTATCCTCGTAAGTTAACATCAGACATAGATTTATGGATCAGATATTTTAGCCCAGTAATTCTTAACCTGTTCCTCAAAAGCTTAAAATGGTCCCTGAATTTACGATTCTCTCCTTATTTTGTTAAATGGTGGTATAAACTGACATGGTTAATATGGTGATTGTAACAGATCACCTGGCACCCCAACTGGGTACCTCCCGTTGAAGGATGCTCCTAGCACTTCCTGAGGGCTCTAAGTGCTCCACCAGAGACCATAACCACCGCAGACCCCACGAACCGCCACAGCTTGGTTGGAGTTTCACCATCTCATACCCACCCTGGACCTACCACAAGGCTCCAGTTTCCAGTGGGTGAACCTCTCTTTCCCCAGAGAGTGAAGCAGGAACAAGCTCTTAAAAGAGCTTAGTAATTATCCAAGTGAGTATGAAGAGCATAGCAATCCCTTGTAGCTGTTTCCCCCAATAAAAGACAGGACTCTAAATTGAGGGAGAAGTAGAACTGGTTTAATGAGCACAAAGGCATTTCTTATATACAGTTTTCCCCACAAGGTTACCACCCATGTGGACCTTGTGGAGCACAGGACACAAAGTCACAACAGCCAATCAACACAGTATTGTACAGTCAGACACTCCCAGCTAATGTACACAAACCCTCCCCTCTACCTGTGATACAATTACCAAACACAATGGACTTACTCAATTACCACAGGCAGAAAATATCCAGTTTTACCCAAAGTCCAGAAACACCCCAAAACAACAACATATCCCCACAAATTATGCATCCATAGATAGCCCTGATCTGGGTGAACAACATATCCAAAAATCACCCAGATCAGAGCAGGGGTTCAAAAGTTTTATGAAAGTCACATTTGACCGACCGGTCTATCTCCTCCTCTATCCTGAAGATAATTGGCTTAAGTGACTGTGGTAACTTAATTATCTCCAGTAACAGGAAATATCTCTAAGCCAAAAACTGTTACAAAAACCACATAAAAATACATAACTCTTATAATACAATGTTTAACCTATATGTCCAACATATCCCCAGATAGTTTGGATCTGAGCGCTCAGTATGTCCAATGTTAAAAGTGCCCTATAGTACAAGGAAGGGTGAGGTCAGAAAATAGCAATGGCTGATGGAAGATTGAGGAGGGACAAAGCAGCCAGTTTCAACTGGTCTGGCAGTGTCCCTGGGACAACGCCCTGCTGGAGAACAACAGGACAGGAAAAAGGGGGAGGGGAGGAGGCATATTTTTACATGGATTTAAAGGGGCAGACAAAGTGTTTTAAAATCCAATAAGCCCAAATAGACTTTTTAGCATGTCTTTTTGCAGGGCCCGTTGTATTGGGACAGGAGGCTGGCAAGTAGCCCCCTCCAAAAACTCATGGCAAACTCCCTAAAAAAGGGGAGTTTGTCACAGTGATGTACTTACAAAATTTTAAGGAAATCAGGAAAGTAATTGAGTAATTCACTAAACTCTGGATTTTTTGCAAAATAAATTGCAATGACAAAACTAGCCGTGCTGTGAATATTGTTGTGTTCTAGAACTTCTCCAGTAATTTTTGTCTCTGTTTTTCCATTCAGATTTAATTTGTAAAAATTCATCATTTTAGCAAATAACCCACCCCTGACAATGTCCAGGGCTTTCAGGAGGTGCCTTTATCTGAACTGAAATTATTTTGTGTCCCATGGACAAGTAGACACCCGTGCATATAATATATAGAATTATATATAAGGTTTGTTATATGTAAAGAAAACAACATTAAACAATAATCTATAAAGAAAAAAGGAAGCCTGTGCAGGTCGCAAATATATTGAAATTGGGTATATTAGCTTGTTATAGGTTGTAAGTATTGACCTATTATTATATTGAGATTACACGTAATACAAATTACACAGGGTTATTTACCAACAGGATTATTACCGGGAAAATGAATTTCAAATTATAGACCAAAGGAAGCAAACGTTAATTTTCAATGTAATTATTTGGCGTTAAATTTGGAATTCCCTTTGAATTGGTAAGTAACCCTGCAAATGACGATTTCACAGAAGAGAGCTATACAGGAATAAAGCGGGGCTTCTTTTATATCTGCACAATGCTCTGGATGCAGAAAACGATTTAGCATTTGTTTCTCTCGGGTCAGGGTAATCTCTGTCTGCCACATTGTCCTCATAACGGAGTGTGTCTGACTTCTTTGTCACCTAAATACCGTGTGGTGTGTCTCAATATTCATTTGCAGAATAAATAATGGTTCAGGCACTCCGACATGCCAAAAATAGCAGCTTTATTGGGCAAAAACAGCAACGTTTCTCTATAAAGCTTGATAAAGAGCCGGTAGGGTCAACACGTTGATGTTTTTGCCCAATAAAGCTGCTCTTTTTGTTATCCCAGAGTGCCTGAACTGTTATTTATTCTGCATATCTTGGAAGAGAGGCCTGGCTTCAGGGCACCTGGGTTACTTGGCGAGTGTGGTATCCAGTACGTCTCAATATTCATTTGTGACTTTTTACAGAACTGACCCAATAAGGATGGACGGTCATCTAACTATGAGAACTTCTATCCTCATCGCAGGGTTATCCAAGGCAGTTTGAGTCCTGCACCAGTCAGTTATTATACTGATTATTTTTTAGATTTATTGATTATTTTTCATTAGTTTATAGTGTTATGAAGCCCAATTTCTGGGACCCTTTTCAAAGTGACGTTTTAATTAATGAATTATTTTCTCAGGTTATTCCACACTCTCTGCATACGTTATGTGCGATTACCTCCAATTTCTTTTTCTCTCGGTTACATTCAAATTACAGGGGTTACTCCCCATTAGGAGGCACTAGCTAACTATTTGGCTCAATTTTCTCTCCTTCGTTCCCCTCCCCCCACCCCCTCTTTTTTCCTTTACAAGTATCTATTACTACCAACCACACATTTTACTTTTTTTTTTTTTTTCATTCATGTCCTATGAACTACATTCATCCGGTTAAGTTTGGTGAGGACATATCGTTTTGGATAACTCTCAAGCACGAGATTTAGTGTCCATACCCTTTATTACATTAGAGCTTAGCCTTATCCACTCACAGCTCTGTTATTTTCATACACTCTATCTCCACTGTATTCCTGTTTCAACTATTGATCTTTATCATAGTTACTCCTATTTGCATTTTTATCTGTAGCTATTTTTGACAGTGAGTCAGTGGTTATAGTAGTGCATTCCAGATCTCCTACTTTATCCTACTTCAGTAGGATATCCTCCTTGAATGGCAGGTGAGGTGTCCTGCTCATTAGTGTATATATCGTTCCATTTATTTAAATCTAGGCTGCTCTGCTATTTATCTTTTTTAAAGCAGTTATTTATCTTAAACTGTTAGTTGCCATTTTTTTCCCTGTCATCTCTCACTCTGTGAGCAAGAGAGATATTACTGCAAAAATAAAGATCTTCTAATACAGGGCACAAATCCCAGGTGCCAGGTGGCTACGGTGACTAGGAATGTTGTCCTGGCGCTTGGGATTTATCAGTGGTGTGGAAGAATTGAGCGGACTGACTGGGCGAGAGTGGAGCGAAATCTTCCGTCTCTTTTTGCTCTGGTCCCTCGGGTGCCCTGCTGTGATGCCAGGTGCCAGGATATGATGTCACTTCGGCCCGGCATAACTAAAGGGGGCTCAAAAGTGCAGAGCTAGAAGAGTTAGAAGATATCAACAGCCACACCGGATTCCAGGGACAAATTTATAATAATTTGTGTGTATGTCTGTCTTTCAGTGAGTGTGTGTGTGAGTGTGTGTCTGTCTTTCAGTGAGTGTGTGTGTGTTTCAGTGAGAGTGTGTGTGTGTCAGTCTGTGTGTGTGTGTGTGTGTGTGCCTGTCTGTCTTTCAGTGAGTGTGTGTGTCTGTCTGTCTGTGAGTGTGTGTGTTTCTTTTTTTTTTTTAGTGTAGATTTCAGCTTTCCGAGATATATACATATAGTCTCGAGGTATGTCATCATATTGCTGCATATCAAATATATAAAAAATGGATCAAAAAAGACATAGAAAACTAAACAAATAGACATTAAAAAAACAAGATAAAACAAAACAACAAAAAGAAACAGAGGACATCCCTGACAAGACAAAATTACCACCACCACCTATTTTGCGACCTATTAACCAATTTAACATCCTGCATCAAGAATAATGGAATATGTATATCAGACTATTCTTTCCTCTTTATTTACTGGAAAACTGTCAAACCAAAGTTGCCAAATTTTATAATATGCCTCTATCTTTACCCGTGCAGTAAAAAAACCTTTTCCATCAAAGCGATTCGATGAGTCTGACTTTTTTGCGAGCGATTATTAACTTCATAGCCAGCAGGTTATGATAACTAAACTTCTTTTAGCTGCTGGCAGAGACTCTAAGCACCAATGTAGTAATGCTATATTCGGGTGCGGGCTCATGACCTTATTTATCAGACCCGAGATCACTTCAAAGATTTCCTTCCAGGTACTTTTGATAACTTAACACTCCCACCATACGTGCATGCAGCTCCCTATATTCTCATAGAAACATAGAATGTGACGGCAGATAAGAACCATTCGGCCCATCTAGTCTGCCCAATTTTCTAAATACTTTCATTAGTCCCTGGCCTTATCTTCCTGATATTATTTTTAAACCTTTGCCCCTCTAATTTAAGACTATGTCCTGTTGTTGTGGTAGTTTTTCTTCTTTTAAATATAGTCTCCGCCTTTACTGTGTTGATTCCTTTTATGTATTTAAATGTTTCTATCATATCCCCCCTGTCTCGTCTTTCCTCCAAGCTATACATGTTAAGATCCTTTAACCTTTCCTGGTAAGTTTTATCCGCAATCCATGAACCAGTTTAGTAGCCCTTCTCTGAACCCTCTCTAAGGTATCAATATCCTTCTGGAGATACAGTCTCCAGTACTGTGTACAATACTCCAAGTGAGGTCTCACCAGTGTTCTGTACAATGGCATGAGGCTACACAAGTAACTCAGGGATTCCATTCGGTGTTTTATGTACTTCTGTGCTCCCGAAAGAGACTGACCGTTAGCCCTGATTTCTTGGAACTGTTTTGGGCATAGGACCATGTGAATCAATGTTAATTCTATAGTTTGACAGTCCTCCAAATTTTTCCACCTCTATTAAAACTGCCTCAAGTGACCTTTCAGGCTCTGTCATAGTCAGCAGGATGTCATTCACAAACAAAATTAACTTACATGTCCTGCATACCTGTCTTAATTCCACTAATCATCCTAATTTTGGCTGCCAGCGGTTCTAACGATAGGATATAGAGCATTGGTGCCAATGGGCAACCCTGATGAGTTCTATTTCTGACCTGAAACCAATCCGAATTAAACCCCTGCCGAACTATTTTAGCAGATGGTGCAGTGTATAAGCCGTGACCGAGTTGACTAGACCATCCCCAAAATTAAAAGCTTTAAGTACCTCCTCAAGAAGTGCCAGTTAACCGGGTCAAAGGCCTTCTCCGCATCCAAGGCCAGCAGAATTGATGGAATTCTATGAGTTGTTACATAATGGATTAAATCTATGACTTTTACTTTATCCTTGCTTGGGGATAGGGATTATTGCTGCCTGCAGCATCTCTGTTGGAAATGATCTTTTTTGCTTAATCATATTAAAGGTGTTTATCAGGTAGGGACTTATCAGGGATTTTAATTTCTTATAAAATAGAATTAAATATCTGTCTGAGCCTGGGGCCTTCTTGGGATGGAGCCTATCAATGGCCTTTCTAATTTCATTGTGACGAACTGGACCTCGTCACGGATTCTTGGAGGGCATACTTGCCAGCCTCTTGCCCTGTGCCCTATGTTAAATCCTGGTTAAAATCACTGTGTGTGCCTTTTTGTACTTGTATGGCCACAATTTGAACTTTATAAGCGGCACTTCGAACTCCTGAAGCCATTTGAAGTGCCATTCGACCACAAGGTGGCGGCCATCTTGTTCACATGCACCAAAACTGCAAATAGACTTCAGGGGGACTTAGCCGCAAATGCCCTGGAGCTATTTCCGGCATGAAAAGCTTGTGGTTCACAGTCGGTCATCCAGCGGCCGCGACACACCGTGACACAGACAGACACACATGACATGACACAGACACACATGACATGACACAGACAGACACACACACCATGACAATGTGTGTCTGTGTCATGTCATGTGTGTCTGTCTGTGTCATGTTATGTGTGTCTGTCTGTGTCACGGTGTGTGTGTGTCTGTGTCATGGTCTCTCTGTGTCGTGGTGTGTGTGTGTCAAGGTGTGTGTGTGTCTTTTTTAAGGTGTGTGTCTGTCATGGTATGTGTGTGTGTTTGTCATGGTATGTGTGTGTGTCTGTCATGGTATGTGTGTGTCTCTGTCATGGTATGTGTGTGTGTCTGTCATGGTATGTGTGTGTTTCTGTCTGTCACGGTGTGTGTGTGTGTTTCTGTCTGTGTCATGGTGTGTGTCTGTGTGTATGTGTGTTTTTACTCACCTTTTTTCCCCCCCATGTCGTGCTGGTCTCCCCTCG